ATTACAAACATGAGGCATACACCGAGTTGCATATTCGTTTTCTCGAAATTCATACAAAACCAAAGTAATTGTTTTTAAAATATATATACCTATAATGGCACATATTATAATTTATAATGGCACAATTAGGGTAGCCTAGTTTAAGATGACGCACTTAAAGTTTGAGACCGTATAGAATGAAAACAAAGTGTTAAAAAATCAGTTATTGTATATTTGGACATAGTTACGCAAACAAGAACCAACACACACCTCGAGTGAAATTGAGTTATGTATTTAGGTAGAATATCAGACGTGTCCTTTACCCACTCACAAAAGATCCTGGCAATATACCAAGCCAAAACGGAAAAAATAAAAGTCCTGAAGTAATGTAGCTCTTTAGCGTTTTAATTACGAAAACTAGAACATTGTTCTCGTTAATTAAATAACAAGATACATAATGTTTTCTATTTATTCCTAAATAATATAATAGTTTCCTTAAATCATTCTCAATGCTACACATAACTCACGTTATTTGTCTCAAATAACTCACCTATTTATTTCTTCACATTGTGTTTACAAAAATCTAATTATCTCGAAAGTGACATTTTGTGGGTTGATTCTAGTTTGCATAACTATGTCCATTTTATAGTCTACTTATCTGACTCTTACATACTAACGTGAAAAGTATTTATATTTAATATTGTGGTTGTAATTGATAGAAAAGTTCCCCTAATGATACAATTTGTAACATTCGGTCGCTTCCTCACCGGAAGCATTCGCCTGTAATGTAACAAGTGGTGTCTGCGAGTCCGTGTGAGTGCCTGCGAATGCGTGCGAGCGCCTTCGTGAACGTGCGAATGCGTGCGAGCGTCTATGAGTGCCTGTAAAATGCCTGTGTGTGCCTGCGAATACATGCGAGCGCCTGTTAGTGCGTGCGAATGCGTGTGTGTGTAATAAGAGATTTTCGGTTTCATCATACATAGTTTACATTTTTAAGATTTTTTGCTTATATGATATGCTATAAATTACAACTTTACTTTCAAATTGGAGTTATCAACGCTATGGTAATAGCGAAAATGAAAACGAAAACCTTGAGTAAAAAGTAAGTTGCTTGAAGTTGGCTCTCCAAATATGATCGTCAGCAGGAAGTGGTTCTATGTTAAAGACCTAAATACCCTCTTAATATATAATTACGATCAAACTGACATGTCTTAAACAACCACCGAGTTCCGTGTTGAATCCGATCAGTATGCTGATTTTGATTCATATCGGAATCAAACCAAACGTTAGAATGCGAAAAGCGTCGAATCAAATCAACTCAGGTTAGTGCCACTGTTGGACATGGTATTTTCTAAGAAGACGGTTAATGAACAACGAATAAATAAATTAAGACAATTGTTTTTCGTGTAATACAGATAGTAGATTGATTTATTTTCTCGCTAATGGAAAATGAACAGTTTCAGAACAATTTATAAAAACACAGCAAATAGATAAATAGATAGTTTATTTGCCAATAAAGCACACACATATATGACATACAAAGACAGAACAAGCAATGAAGTAAATATTTAAAACGAACAAAAGCAGTTTTATATAAACAAGAAATACAAAAATCAAATCAACTTATAATAGAAAAATTTATCATGTGTGCTGCCGTGGCGCACAGCTCAACGTAAAGCCGTCGCATAAACGACGCGCTGATTTTCAGCTACCTCCCAAAAGGTTACGCGGAACATTAAATATGAAAAGAAGTAGATTGTTGTCTGTGCAAGTTACTGTGCTGTGTACACGAAGCATAGTGTGTATGAAGTATGTACTTACGGAGCATTATGGTTTAAGACATTTATTTCTCAAAGAACATACATATTCACTTAACGAGAAATACAAGGTATCATAAAATTTCTACACAGAGTACGTGTTGACTAAATATTTAAAAGAAGGTATACAAATAAAACTTAATGATCTGACTTAGTAAAAAAAATAACAGCAACAAGGCTTTAATCAAGTATCGCATATCAATTGCCATGGTGACAATTTGATAGCAATTACTACTGAAATAAAAGTAAAAACATCAAAATCCTGAGAAATTCCTCATAATGTGAAATTTTAATTTCTTTTTGAATAATTGGAATGACTGTATTTCCTTAATATCTTTTGGTAATTTATTATATATTTGAGCTCCTTCGTACATTATGTTTTTCTTTCCATAATTCGTTCGCGGTATTTGCAAGTAAATATCGTTAGCACGCCTAGTTATACGTTTTTGAATATGTCGTTTTTTAGTGAAATTTATTTGCGAGTGAATATTTTTATTTAGAATCTTCCTAATCAGTATGCAGGTGTTATAATTATACATTTGTGAAACAGTCATTAATTTTGTTTTCTGGTACAGTGTTATAGTTGGGGTTAGATAATGGAAATGAAAAAGTTTTTTTATAATTTTATTTTGTACTGTTTGCAATGTTTTTAAGTGTGTTTTGCAAGCAGAACCCCAAACTTCAATAAGGTAGTCAAGGTGTGTTTTGACCAACGAATTGTATATTATATACCGAACACTTAACGGGAAACATCTTGTTATGCCATGGAGAGAACCCATGAGAGATAATATTTTTTTCCTAATTTTTTCAATTTGGAGTTTCCATGTTAAACGGCTATCCAACATAAGACCTAAATATATTTCAGAGTTTACTCTATTTATAGCTTCGTTGTTAATAGTCAATATTGGAACTTTTGAGATCTTTTTATTTTTTGCTGAAAATATCATAAAATTTGTCTTAGTTACATTTATGGTAAGTAAATTGCACTGAAACCAGGTGTGAAGTTTTTTTAAATCATTTTGGGCTACACTTGCTATTGACTCGATATTATCACCATAATACAATAAGCATGTGTCATCAGCGTACAATGTTAGGTCGCCTTCCAAACCAATTTCGTGAACATTATTAATGTAGATTAGGAACAGTAATGGTCCCAAAATAGATCCTTGTGGGATTCCAAAAGTAATTGATTGAGATGTACTCTGAGTGTTGCCAATTTTGACAACCTGCTGTCGGCTAGTAAGGTAAGACTTAATCATATTCAATGCAGTTTCCCTAATACCAATATTATGCAACTTATGTAAGAGTAGTTCATGGCTAATTGTGTCGAATGCTTTCTTTAAGTCTATAAAAACCCCTAGTGCTATTTGTTTTTGATCGATTTTAGTTTTTATGTTAGTGACAAGGTCGATAGTGGCAGACAAAGTGTTTGACTTGGGGCGGAAACCGTGCTGCTTTACATATATATAGTTAATTGAATTTAGGTACTCATTTAGGCGGACGTGGATTATTTTTTCTAAAATTTTTGAAAGAACAGGAAGTACAGAGATCGGACGGTAATTACCTGGATCTGACTTACTTCCTGATTTAAAAATAGGGCTGACTTTTGCTATTTTCAGTGAATCGGGGAAGTAGCCATATTCTAAACAATGGTTGATACAGGTGGTAAGTTGACTTATAATTAGATTTTTTACACATTTTATTACTTTACAGCTGATACCATCCAATCCAGTACTCGTGTTGGTGTTAAGATTGTCAATTATTTTGCCGATTTCATCTGTTGACGTTGGAGGCAAATTAATAAATTGTGAGGAGTTTGCGATTTTAGGTTTGGGTTGCATATGATTATAATTAGTACTGTAGCGATAAATTGAGGGAATTTTGTCAGCTAAAATGGAGCCTATATTGGCAAAGTAGTGATTAAAACAGTTGCATATTTCTGTAATGTCCGTAATAGACCCCGTGTTGGTATCAAGTTTTGTAGGAGCACAAGTCGTTTTAACTTTATTAGTTGCTAAGTTATTTATAAGTTTCCACATTTTGAGGGGTTTTTTCTCACAGTCTTTAAATGCCTTATGATAATACTGACACTTAGTCGTTTGAATATTGTCACGGACTTGATTCCTTACGGCGACAAATTGTTTCTTGATACTCTTCTCCTGTGGCGATTTCATGTACATATACCACAACTGATTTCTTTTATTTATAGCTTCAATTATATCTCTTTTTATCCAATCTGCTCTTGGAGGGTTTTGTATTTTACTTTTTGTAATCTTTGCTGTATTCACTGCATCCATTAAGATAATTTCTAATTTCTCATATTTGGTTTCAAAATGTTGTAATTGGTACTGTTCTACTGTTTTATATAGTTTGTGATAGTCTATTGCTTGGTACTCAATTTTTTTCTTTGTTTCAGGTTCATATTTGTGTAATTCTATATAGATCTGCTTATGATCTGACATTGATGATTCTACAGTAGCGAAATGAAACCTATTATTCCTTAGATTGGTGGAGACGTGATCCAAAATAGTTTTTGTGCTAGAAGTCTCTCGTGTACAGTATTTAGGGTCAATATTGTTTAGTATTGTAAGTCCACTTTCAAGTAACATAGTTTTGTAATTGGTGATTGATTGATTATCCTCTAGCAAATTATAATTGAAATCGCCGAACACTATTACACGTTGACGTTTGAGTAATTGTTGTGAGAAGGTTTCGAGAAAACTGTCATTGTTTGTCCTTTCTGGTTTGTAAATAGCACCAATGTTTAAGTTGAACTTGTCGATGTGGATCCATAGGTAATGATTGTCATTTTCATACAGTTCTTCGCTAGCTTCGTGTTTTAGGTTGTTATGAACATATATGGAAACACCTCCACCCCTTTTGTTGCTTCTATAATTAAAATAATGCGTATAATTAGGTAGCGTTAATTTTTGAGCTTCACTCTCAGACTTGATCCAAGTTTCCGTTAAAATTATAACATGTACAATGCTAGAGATTGCTTGAATACTGCATCTCAATTCGTCTAGTTTGCCAGGTTTAACGATGCTGCGCGTATTCGCATACAGGAACTTTAATGATTTCAGATTGTTAACTAGGTTACTGTAGGTACTAGCTGTGAAATATGTTACGTTGTTTACGGTAAAGTTTTCGACAGTATGTTCTATACGAGGTTTTTTGTACTGAGTTCGGTAATCTTGGGGATACCTTTGACGTACTTAATTGTGAGGTTTTTTTCACCCTCAGCAATTCTACGTTTTAGTTGTTCTCGCAAATTTTGCAGTAAGGTCTTCTGATTAGGTGTTGTATCTGAAAATATTTTGATTCCATCAGCTTTTAAATTCGCTTTATTCCGCAGTATCGATTTAGCTATATCCGACGTTGTAAAACAAACTTTTAGTGGTCTGGATTTATTGCTTCTGTACTTTCCCAACCGAATAATTTTAATAGGCTCAGCGCAGTTAGAGACAACTTGATTAATAATTTTACTTACTTCTATTTTATCATGAGTGCGCCTCTGTTCAGATACATGGGAATTAATTTCGTTTACACCGCTAATGACTATATTTTTCTCCCTCTGAATTCTGTCATAGATTTCAGCCATAAAGTCTTCACACGCAGGCGCAGGCGTCGAAGTAGTGGCTGCAGTGGTCTTAAGCGTATCAACATCAGCCGACAGAGACTCAAGTTTTTGTTGTGTATCATTTTTGAAGGTGGATATATTTTTCAGCTCTTGTTTAAATTTCTGTTGTTCAGCTACAAGTTGATCTGTTGTAGTTTTAATTTGAGTAATTTGATCTCTGATAAGTGATACATCTTCAGATATTTTGTTCAGATTGTTTGTTTGAGTCTGAGCCATAGTTGATAAAATTGACATAATTTCGGTTTGAAATCTATCGAATTTCGAAGAAAAATCGTCATCTGGTTGTTTTCTTTTGTTACGAATAGTGATTTGTTGCATTTCCAGCTTAGACAGTTCCCTCAAGTCCGTTAAGGATCCTCCACTACTTGAAGTTCGAGGTGTTATCATTCTGCTATGAGTTGCTATCGTCTCATCGCTATCGTGACATGTTTTCGATCCATGCGGTGGTGAATGTTGGACATTCATTCTTGCCTACTGTTGTCTAATGTAGTATGAGTACGATGAATTATCAGAGTCCGTCCCTTTCACACGAGAGAAGGACAGGTAGTTTGCACCAGATTTGCACTGGTCCAAGTTGCAACTTAGAACTATAACGACCCGTATGACACTTTTGCGGCACTTAAAACTGATACTAAAGTAAAGGACTTTGAGTTTAAATTACTTCAAATGCACAATTTAAAATTTCAATTAAAACGAGTCAACACGTCCACTCTGCGCGAACTGCGAGCTCCCAAGTCATTCAAATAATAAATTACAACCTTAAAACAAATAATAAATTACAAAACAAAAAAAAGTAATACAGTATTGGCTAGTAATTAATTTACTTGCTAAAATAATAATAAATCGGTCGGATACGATACCTCAGGCGCGAAATGCAAAGGAATACCCAGTCTTTGCTTGGCCAAAATAGCAGATTTTAAATGTTTTTTAAAAGTGTATTTAGATTTAAATGACCTAAATGGGAGAGGGATATTGTTCCAGCACTTCGTTGCCTGATAACGGAAACTGCCAGTGAACGCCACCGTACGGTGTTGCTGCACTAATAACAGAGGATGTTCAGACCTTGGATCTTCTTGGAAGTATCGATTACAAGGGAAAATCAGTTTCTCGTACAGATATTCGGGACGTTTATATTTTATTATATCGAACATAAGGCAAGCAAGATGAAATTTTCCACGCGACTCTGTGTTCAACACTGATGCAGTATTTAAATAAGGAGATATGTGGGTCCGTGGAAGAATATTATAACAGAACCTGCAACAAGCATTTTGTACGCGCTGCAGTAGACATTTAGTTCGTTCTAGGATGCGAGGCCCATACACGACATCACCGTAATTAAGCCTGGAAAGGATCAAAGATTCACAAAGCATGATACGGGACTTATCGCTTAGTAGGTAAGTGACGGATCTTGTATAGTACTTTGAGACGATAGAAATAGCTATTTACAAGGCTCAGTATGTGGCTTTCGAAGCGTAAAAAAACTATCAATGACCATCCCAAGGCTTTTTGCCTCGTTCACGCGTTGAAGGTGTTGACCGTGATCGTTCACACATTCAAGGTGTTGAGCGTGAATAGTTACGATGGAATTACAATTATTAACTATGTTAACCTGCGCTTTGCCTCCAAGCACCATAAACTTCGATTTAGTGACATTTAAAACAAGAGAATTCTTACAGGACCAATCATATACACCAGTCAGGTCTTCATTTAGTCTTTGCAATGTAGAGAAAGTATCCTCAGGTTTTGATGAGATATACATAAAAATGACACCTACAATACTTCAAGATACGCGGAAGATCAGCACAGTAATTAATAAATAAAAGAGGACCAATAATTGAACCCTGAGGCACACCACAGATTACTCTCCCAGATTTCAAAATAGGTCCATCATGTTTATGAAGTCTGACAATCTGCATTCTGTTATGTAGGTAACTGTTAAACCACAATAGGGAACGAGTATTAATACCGTAGAAAGACAGCTTAGAGAGAAGAAGAGGTATACTAATACTATGGAACGCACGGGAATAATCGAGCATAGGTAATAGAGTTGCACGACCAACATCCTGTTCATTTAATATATTGTCAATAACATCTAGCAAAGCCGTCGTGGTACTACGATCTGTGCGGAAAACAGATTAAAAGGAAGGTAGTATATTATTATCTTCAACATATTTACTTAACTGTACATGTACAATCCTCTCCAATATCTTTGACAAAAATGCAAAATACTAATAGGCCTTAAGTCTTTGAGGTCACTAGGGTTATCTACTTTTGGTAATGGATTGGCCATAGCTTCCCACTGTTCAGGAACTTCTCCCCTGACAAGCGACCTGTTTATTATACTCGTTATGACTTTCAGAGTATGTGGAAGAATGAGTATTACCATATCTCTACTAATACCAACATAGCCAAGAGCGTTCGATTTAATAGACATGATATAACTGCTAACATCTTCCTCGCTTACATTATCCAAATTAAATTGGGACGTACAAAACCTGTGAGACTCGAAATATGTCAATTGCGAGATAGGAACAGAACCTCCACCGGGAATATTCAAAAAGTGGTCATTTAAAGCATTTGGATCATTGAAGCTAGGCGGTGGATAATCAGATTTGCAAGAGTCACACATAATTTTGTCTTTAACAGTCTTCCAGAATGTAGTACTATCTTTAAAATTACAATTTATATAATTATTGAAATAAGCACGTTTCTCATTACCAATGCTAGTTATAAACTAATTTTTTTAAATCCTTATAGTATTGACCATGTGAATCCAAACCCGTCATTAGATACCTTTCATGAGCTGGGTTGCGTAAATTATAGGCTTCCGCTTCACACAGCTTGAAAAATCAAATACAAACACTAAATAAGAACATAAAATTACAAACTCGTGCGTCACTAGACATGAATAATAGATTAGTACTTTGACCTCGTTCGTACACCGTGCAAACCTGCGAACCAACATACTGCACCTTACAATCAATAAGCAACAACGTCTAAGTTATCTGTGAGCACTTCAGTCATCCAGTAACCCGGGTATTTAAACTGCTTCACTTGTTTGAGTGGAGCACCATCTAATATAACAGGTGTTCTACGTTTTCGCACTCGCCTAGAAACTAGCAACTCGCTATCCATGGGCCACCGCATATTGCTCACAGATTTTCACCAATCTCTTCAAGGCACGGACTGAGGGGCTCAACAGTACCTATCATCAGCATAACTAATATTGTTGATGATACGGCCACCAATCGAGCACCCCATTCTAGCACAGCTAAACTCCTCAATGAGTCCGATTATGTACAGGTTGAACAACTTGGGAGACGTCAATCCTCCCTGCCTCACCCCGCTGTGCGACTGGCTCCCATGCCAGTACATAATAGTACGAAGTGTTCTGTTGGTAGAGTAGTTTCTGAAACAATGTTCCTCTAGAGTACTGTACGTCATAGGAAACCAGATCGAATGACTTAGAGAGGTCCAGAAAACAAGCAAACACAGGAGTGCGCCGATCTGTATAGTAGCGGATGGTGTGCTTGAGGCAGTATATTGCAAATTCTGTGGAGAGTCCGGGTTTGAAGCCGAATTGAGCGTCATGAAGTTTCATATTATTACATAACCGCTTATCAAGCACCGCATCCAATACTTTAGCCGTTTTTGTGGCTAAGAAAACGAGTCTGTAGTTTTCTTTGCCTGACACATCTCAGTCTTGTTCTTGGTAATCTGAACCACTATAATTTTCATTAAATTTTTAGGCATGTACGAATGTCCAATACACAAACTAAAAAGCAGGTCTAACACTCTCGGGAAATGTAGGTACACCTCCGTTCTGAAAATGGTCCACCCTGATTCTGTCGTGTCCCGGTAACTTGCCGCGAGTCATGTTAATTTCCGCGATATCCTTTACTTTAACGTGTTCGAATGAGTCACCAGGCCGACACCCGCGGGGAGCAGCCCATGGAGGGGCCAAGAGGAGTTTGCACCTGGAAATGTTTCATGAAGAAATCTGCTATTTGAGCAGGCTCACTGACATCTTTGACGCTCACATGGATACTTGGTTTTAGGGTCCAGAACCGGAAAATCCCAGTTTCGAAAGTACCGGGAATTCCCGGTTCTGTTATTGTAACGAGAACCAGGAATTGAAAATTATTTCCTAGTTCTTTCGATACTTTCGGGAAGCAGCGTCGATAGTGTAATTTCTTCTTTAATTACGCGCTAAAGGCACTTTGATGCTCTATCGCGGTCGAAACTAAACAACTAGATACGGGCGGGGGCAGGGAGTAAAAAAACGTTTTGCAAAGGTTATGGTGGTTTTCCACCGCCGCCAAGGCAAAACGAGACGAGAATCGAAATCTCGACGGCCTATTTCCAAAATTGTCTCGAGCTCGCGCGGGCTATAGCGACCTCGCGCTTTGGTTGTGGTGGTGACGGTTCAGTGCTGTCCACTGCTAGCGCGATAACCACGCGGCTGAAGTAACATGTCATGTAAATTATTATAACGAAAGAAGAACAAGATGAAGCCATCTTTTTTTAAATCTGAAATTGTGCGAACAGTCGCGTGCAATGAAATGTAAACCTTGACACATTTTCAATATTATGTAAGTTCAAAAATAAGAACATATCATTTTCAAAAAAGCAACTTTTTAAATAATTTATTATCAATATCAAGTACTAAGTAAACGAGTTTTGTTCGCCAATTTAAAAAAATAAATTGTGCTGCAATCACAATAATTTATCACGGTGACACTGTAAATTTACCTCGCACTGCACCACAAGGACAATTAATTCGACATAGTGTAGGTACCGATAGGCCGGCGAGATTTAAATTCTCGTCTCTCCTCGTCTCGTCTCGCCGGTGGAAAACGAACTTAATTGCCATCGCGAGCTCGCGCGAAAAATCGACTGCAGAGTATAATACTCTATGTGGGCAACAATGCGGTTCAATATTACGTCAACAAATATTTCAATTCTCACCTCACCCATCGTCGTCAATCCAGACTATTTCCACCGATGATGCGCTAGAAGAGAATTTAACGTTTGCCATACTTCAACCCTCGTCTCGCCTCGCCGGTGGAAAAGCACTTTACATTACAAAAATGTTATAGTAGTTTTTTTAAGTTACCTACATATTATGTTTTAGTAAGTTTTTATTTTATTTTTTTCCATTTTCAAAAATTTAGAAGTAAGAACTAACATTACTGTTAGTAACTTAGGACTACACC